CTGTTGGAGCAACTTCAGGAAATGAAACCTGTTGTCAGTTTGAGAAGGCTTGAAGGACGTTGGGAGGATAATCCAGAGGTTATAGCTGCAAAAGTAATTGTTTTGGGTACTGAGGAAGGGGAATCAAAATACTGAAAACCTAATGTGTTTAACCGTGACCTGTAATAGAATTTATTTTGAATAGGAAGCCATCAAGCATGCTAGTAACTGTGGAGCTCTTTTATTTTGAAGTGATTTAATCTAGCAAAAAACATGACATGAGTCATGTAAATGTCTTATTTGTTTTTATCCCTATGGGACTTGAAGAACAGAGTAATTGCTTCAGTTCTGTAAATACTTTATCAAGACCTCAACTTTCTATCAGATTGTCCTTTCCATAAACTAAATCTTTGTGAGTTGTCTGTGATTGGTATCTTTCACCAGGTTACTTCTCATGTATAACAGTTCTCTTTATTTGTAGATACAATTTTTTTGTATATATTTATTATTGTAAATCATTTGCTGCCACCAGCAGTCTGTAAGTCTAAACTATTAAATGACACATTTATATTCGGAATTTTAATTTGTAACTAAGTGAGCAAGTTTTTAAAACTGTCCTTCAGTCATTTTAAATTAAGAACTTTTGAACTAAAGCTAGCTAAGTCTGTCATATCCAGTTTATTTTGCATAAAGCATTTATTTACAGAAGAGGAGCTGGATAAGATCACATTTCATAGGTTAAACATACTGACACACTCATTTTTGTAAATTTTGACATCCAGTATCTATGGATGTTATTCATATGTAGTTAACACATAAATATAATAGTTTTCTTATAGCTACATTTTTCATTGCTTTTAATTGGATACAAAGCATTTATGATTCCATAATAAAAATGGAAATGTGAATAAAAATAGTTTGCTACATTGGAGATTTAAAACAATATTTGGTATTAAAGAATCCGTTGTGAATGTGATAGAAAATTAGTAGTGTGGAGCAGTGTATATATTTGAGGTGGTGATTTGTGAAGTAGCCCAGTATTGCCTTAAATAAAAACACATTTCATTTCTTGTTTTATACATGTGATCTTATAAAGGTTATTTTTGTTTCTGTAACTTAGATTGGTGTATAGTTTAATTTTTGTTAAAAAAACAAAACAAAACAAAAAAACTTCAGAAACCGTTTTTGTAAATAGTGGGTTTATAAAACAGATGGTTTATTTTGATAATACCAGTTTGGTATCTATCCATAAAATACACGAGTCCTTATGCCATACCATTAAAAGCTAAATAAACAAGACACTTCCTGAAAGGGAAGTGAGATTGTGATCTTACAGATAAACTCAGTGGTTGTGCTCTATTGATGGCATGGGCTCCCTTTGCGCTCTTCTGCCTCTTGCTGACTGTACCTGGCACCACTCTCACAACCTCTCTTTTCCACACTGGAACGAGCCTCAGAAGCGGTGCTGCTTGTAGTGCCCGGGATTGGAGCAATTCCTCTGTATGCTGCTAACTGAAATGACAGGTATCCAGTTTGTTGAGTAACCAAAAATGTGAATGCATTGGTGGGAGCTGTCAGTACCCAGAAGTCTTCAGTGTTGGTTTTCACATGTGATTATCTTGACTCAGATGGGACAAGCCAGCTGGGTTGTGTGGTACCAAAAATTTTTCTTGGATTATTCTCATTCTTGGGTGTGACCTACCTTCAGTAATATAAAATAGTCTTTAACTTGGGTGAGATTGGCTTGATTTTTATTTTTTTTTCTATGAACTTGTCTTGCCATGTAAAGCTTTGTATTAAATGCTACACTTGATTGCTCTTAAGCTATTCACCTGGAATCTTCGATGGTTTTCCTGAATATCAGTCCAGAGGGCACATTCCTACAACAAAATGAAATTACTTGTTGCGAGAGTGAGGATTATGTATGAAACAGCAGGAAGGCAACAGCAGTTCAACTTGAGCATAGCCCTTGGTTTGCTTTGTGGTGCTAAATTGCCTACCTTCACAGACAGCCTGTGCTTCCATTTGAACAGAGCCCCTTGGCTCCTCTCGCTTTTGATCCCTCCCAGGTGACTAAACTGGTAATTCTGCCAAGTAGTAAATCAAAGGTGTTGTCTGATAAAACCAAAACAAATCCTTGCATTTTAACTCTAGGAGAGTTTGTTATAATAGTTACAAGCACACAGTGCCATGTTCTACCTACTAGAGGCCACGTGGTCCCCCTGGATGGAGCTGCTGTTGGATACCAGCCATGGTGATTGTAGAGGGAAGTTCTGCAGGGGAGAAGAGGGCAGAGATCCTCTGGAGTGGATCCACAAAGATCGCCTGAAATCTCATTTTCAGCTTTACTTAGCCACTGCAGTCACTGTCAACAGACCTCGCAACTGTTAGTCTTTTAGAAGAATTTTTGTGTTGTGAATTGAATAGTTTCAGCATTGACATTCCTGATAATAAATTCCACATCATTTGCAGTTCTTGGACTGAGAATGGTATATAACTATTTAGCTAAACAATGCTATACTAGAATGCTATTTAAAAAAAAAGAGAAAAGGAAAAAAATTCCAATGTCATAAATATCCAGAAAGTAATTTCTGGTTTGTATCTGAATGTAGGGTCTGAATTTCTGAGAATGAAATATTTAATACTGTCTCATCCCAATCCAATTAAAGTAGGTGCTGTTCCAATATAGTCAGTGCCTTCCTTGACCCTTTTAGGTGGGTACTGACACAGGTAAGCTAGTATGGGGCTTGTTTTTTCCTTTTTTAAAAAAAAAGTGTTTTGAACTTAAAATGGGGGACCAAAGGCAGGGTCTGATTTAAGATGTCACAGACTGCAGAGGGCATTCTGGTTTGGAGCCACCTAGAAAGGCTCCCAAGGAAATAAAAAAGGTATATATATATAAAACATACCATTTGGATGTTTTATCTTCGGTGATGTAGGAAACCTCCCATTGTAGCAGCGGCAGGATGCCTGAAGGGATGGCTTCTCTGGAGCCTGAAGCCATACCTCTGCCCTTGGGGCTGCAGAGCAGGATGGGGCTCCAAAGTGGCCAAGGCAGCTCTACCAGCAGCACCTCAGCCTGCAGGGTGCCCCAACACCCAGAGGTGCCGCTGGCCCCATTGCTTAGTCCCTCTCTGTTTTCTGCCTTGCCTTTTTCCTTCCTCTGTCTCTGCCTTCCAGACTTGTCACCTGTGAAGAGGGAGGGGAGGCATTCAGGCAAAAGCTCGCTCTTTTAGCCCCTTGTTGCCATCAGGAATGTACTGACCAAAACAGAAGTTGGTGCTGATGGGGAAGCAACCAAATCGAGGAGTCTGGCTGGATGCAGAGAACAGACTGTTTTGTGACTGAAAGTCACAGTCAGTCTCTCTTGTGGTTAACTATGTTTATAAAGAAATCTATTGTCTGAGCCCTAATTCAGTGTAAATAAGAGTAGTGGGTTTGTCCTCACATGTTTTAGGGGGTCCTTCTGAGCAGGATGGGGGGACTGTGGGTTACACTGGGATGTCAAGTCTATGGCTGTTGGATAGCAAGTGAGCAATGCTTGTACAAGTAACACTAGAACCAGTTGTTGGATCAGGTGAGGAAAAGTAGTTGGCTAATTGTTGCAATGAGTTTCTGTGCCAAAGAGTTGGTTATGGCTCCCACCTGTGCAGGCAGGGACATGCTGCCCTGAGGTTTAGGTCCCCTGAGCTGGAGAAGCTCACGCTCAGCCCTGGCTGGAGCCTTGGCATGGAGAAGGTGATACTATTAAAAGGGTGGGAAACAGGGCCAGTGGTACTGGAGAAGGAAGTAGAGGGAATAAACTATCAGCAAATAGGGAAATATTTTTCTGTGTCTTTTTTTCAAACCTCTTCTGTCCCAAGGCAAGGAGCTTACTTGGATTTTAAAGAAAATGAAAGTCTATGTAAGACATGGATCTTTTGATGTTTTGGAATATGAATGAGGTAAATATTTTTGTATGAATGTGCATGGAGTGATCATGTTTTTTCTCCATTACTGTATAGACTCAGATCAGCTTCTTATCAATTGATTATATCCTTGTGGAACATAGCACTTGAATTAAATTTTTTAACATGTCTATTTGGGTGACTCAGAAGTTTAGGGGCCAAGCCTGTAAACTCATTTGAACCAAAAAATATAACAGCAAACGCCTTCAGGGATGTATGGATGAGTGAAACTTAAACTGGAGAACAAAAGCCTGTAAAGGCAGGGAAAGGACTGTGGAAGGGAAGGAGCCAGTAAAAGGCCAAATGGTGGCCAAGAACAAGGGTTCAGAAAGAGATGAGTTTATTTCTGTTCCCTCAGGTTCAGCAAAATCTGACAGAGCTGCCTTGTGTGACTCTCCCTTCCTTTTCATGAGTTGCTCTATCAAACACTCAAATTTTTCAGCACATGATGTGAAGGCTACTTGGCAGTTTGCTGTGAGTTGGGTTACACAGAGTTGGTCCGTAATAATAAATTCTCAGAATATTTCTCATGTAAGGTACTGGCTTTGTCAGAACTGAAGTATCCTCCAAGACTCGAAACATGTTGATTTTGGAATTTATTTATCATTTCATGGCTGTTGGAAGATAGAATTAAAAATAAAACTTTGAACATACATTCCAAAGAATTAGAGTTCTTGTTTCATGGGAAAATTTTTGGTCTAAGTGGGAATCTCTGACCAGCCACAGAGCTTTAGGGGATGCTCTAAAACCCTTCAAGCGCTGACTTTATATACTTTTTTATTAGAGAGCAGCTAATGCACAAATTTATCAGAAACCTGTGTTGTCTAAACTGTGTTTGCTTCTCTTCATTTTCTCCCAAATAAACCTTACTTTAAAAACAATGAATACTTTTTCATTAGTGTGCTGTCTTGAAATCTGTCCTCAATAATTAAAACCCAGACATTTTAGAAACACTTTTTTCTTTCGTAGTGTTGCCCTTATCTTAAAAAAATTATGCATGAGGGCACAAAAGGTCCAAGATGATTTTGGGTTTTGTTCTCCGTTACTCAGACTGTGGAAGTCACAGTTTCACAGGGCTCATGGGCAGTGGTTTTGCTTCATGCATTCTTTGGTGGGTTTTGTCCAGTAGCTGCAAAAGACTTTCTAACTGGAATTTCTGTCATGAGCCACATTTCTGTGTATGTAGAAATTTAACAGGAAACATCCTGAATTACGTAAAGCACCTTGTCTTGATATAGGTACTGATTCAGCATCACTCGAGATGTAAAACTTTAACTGACCACAGGCTGGCAAGGTGGTATCTGAGGGACTGCTGTCACTGGTCAATTCGGCAGCAAAACCTTATAAAAGTAGGTTCATTTTAGGAAAAAAACCAACACACCTTGAAAATCACAGTCAAAAAGCACATAGTTTATTCACTAGTTCTTAAAGTTAATTCTGTAACTGGTACCCCACTACTCATAAATGTAATGCTAAAGGGTGCATTTTGATCAGGCTCACTACTGATATCTGTTCAAAGGTCTTTCATTTCAGCAACAGAAAGAGCACACCACCCTGAAATAAGTTTTTTTAGGCACTAGTTTCTGTTGTCTTAAAAGTCTAGGTTCAACAGAAGACATGTCTTAGCTAATTTCTATCCCTTTCCTGTTTTCCCAAATGATACACATAACACAGAGCAGAAGTGTGTGGTATTTAAGAGAGATTCTGAAACTTGGGGGGAAGGGAATAGATGATTCTTTTTTACTTTGTTTCTACTGGAGGTTTTTCATATTTTTACAGCAGAGAAATCTACTGAAGGAAAGAGCAGCAGTATTTTCAGCCTTACTTAAGGGACCAGATTCCAGGCTATTCAATACTAGGGACTACTGGCTACTGTTCTGCCATATTGCGTGGTCTGCATTTCTCTACTCACTCCTGTGGAACTGGGAATGATCCTTTCTCTTAAATGCCACAATCACAAAGCAGAAGACAAATCTAATGACTCGGGAGCTGCTTGGTGCTGCTTGCACAAGTTTGAGCAAGTGCCTTTCCTTAGAGGATGAGTTCTGATGATTAATACCCTTAAAGTTGTAAAGGGCTCAGATGCTTTCAGAAGGAGGTACTCCATAAACAGCTAAATAAGCAAGTGGGCTAAAATAGATGCGTCTACCTCTTCTTGGTTTTTTCTGGTTTTGATATGTTTTCTAGTCTGGTGGAATGGGCATGTGACTACATAGTTCACTTCAAACACCAGCACTTTCCTATTGCTGTTGCAACAGTCATCAGATCCACCCACCTGACAAATGCTGTACATCCCCTTATTGTTCAGTTTCTTAATCAGTCCCAGGTTCTTCCACCTCTGCATATAAAAAGCCTCTTTTTGCTTGTACCAAAGCAATTCTGTGCAATATTCAATACACAACTGTGAGCAATTGTTTCACATGATTTATCATAAGCGTCTGTGTTTATATTAAAACTTCATGGGATTCTCAGGCTTCTACACTTCTTGTTTAAACATGAAAAGATCTCGATGATTTTATGTATGACATATATAATGTAACTGAATTTATCAGCTAGAGTAATGGGGAACTAGTAGAGAAACAGTATTTCCTCTGTAACTATCCTTTCAGTTCTGTAAAGCACTCATGGGAAAAGCAATTTGTCAAAAGCAGCTTGTGTAATGGGAGGGTGGTCTCCAGCCTTCTTTCAAGTCAACGGGGAACATTTTTCATGTTCATCTCGTATATTCAGAGGCAAAGATGAGGGGCTATCGGGGAATCGTCCTTCAGGTGCTGCTCTGTTGTAACCAATGGTTTCTGATTTGCGACAATTGCTTTTGGAGCCTTGCTGTTTCTTCATGTATCTCTTCAGATAACATTTTGGGGAGTATTTGAAAATTAGATAAGTCAATTCACTTAGATTTAGTATGATGCACAGGCATGAAGTTGCCACCAGAAAAGAGAGGAAAATCATCTTCTCTGTGGGTTTGGAAATATAGCAGTCTACGCTACTGGGACATGGTCTTATGTCACATTTCACAAGATGTGGTATTTTGAATCCATTGTACAATTTATAAAACAGAGCAAGAAAAACTATTTCAAATCCTATTTTTAAAATGAGGCTGATTAGGTAAGTGCACAGCAATCCACCATCTATCTCTCCTGGGTTTCTGTAAAGCTTCTGGTTGTGGTGTTTCTCTCTGTAGGCAACATGAAAAACAACCAAGAGTGAAGGGGTGGAGACCATGATTAATTGCAAAGCCCAAAGTCTGATGTGGGAGACAGGGAAAAAATGGTCAAAGCAGACATTTTCACAACCAGGCTGTTTGATATTGCATTCAAATTCATCATGTTCATATTTCCAGATGTTTTCTGCGGCTGCAACATAAACCAGTAAGCGGAACATGAACACAACAGCTACCCAAATTCTTCCAACTCCTGTTGAGTATTTATTCACTCCACTCAGCAGATCACATAGGAATCCCCAGCTCATTTTTCTCTTCAAGGAAAGAAGGAAATGCTGTATCAAAGAAACACAGGATCAGAGAGATGCTTCCTCTTGGGTGAAGAAAAATGAGACATTCATTCAACATGAAATATAACCAATAGCTGAAATAATTTAAAATTATTAGGCATTTAAAAAGGAAAACAACAACAAGCTGATCTTGTTTCTGATAATTTGTACATTCTGAGGCTATTACACAAAATTTATGTGCTGTTTTAATACATTTTGTCAATTAGGCTGAAGCTTAATCATTCTGTTAAACTGTCCTCTGTGAGAAATGTGCGTGCTCTCCCCAAGGGTCTTCTGACAGGTAGAGCTTTCTCTGGCAAGTTCAGGCTGGCACTCTACCACTGAAGTACACTTAACTTAGACCTGTCAGTTATGCAAATACTAAGCCCAGGCAAATAAGATTTTGCTTTCAAATTTATGTATAGGAGCCACGTGTCCCATAATAACTTGACTACACAAGTGCAAATTGATTTCTTTTTGTCTGTGGTCTGACTTCTGGGTAAGCTTGTGCAACATTTTAAATCCTGTCCTGCTTCATTGGATTTTATTTGTTGTATTTCTTATTATGTGTATATCATGTGTATATCTTATCGCTCCAAAAATATGTGCATATGTGTGTGTTACAGTTTCTTATCTGCACAAGTTTTCCCCTGTCCTAAATCTGTAACACTTATTTTGGAAGAGCTGGTTAAGGGAGCCAGTGGCAGTGAGACTCTTGTCAAAGTCAAAAGAAGACCTGAGATAACCCCCAAGAATATACAGTCACTTTTCCACCTGGCCCTATCTCCTGGTCTGAGTGGATCTTTGAGGATATCAAACTCCCTTGTTTTGAAAGAGCAAAAAGTAAACGTATTCCCAGGACACAGAATGGCTGGAAGATATGAGGAGGGAAATCAGAATTTTCCAGATCTTTGTGTTCTTTTAATGTCCTTACCCATCTACTGCTCCTGCAAGCTCTGCCTAGCAGGAGAGGAAATGTACCCCTCTGTGGTTGCAGTGGCACATACAAATCCCATTGCTGTAGCTGCAGTTACTCCTGATGTATGAGCAAGTTCGTCCTCTGGCAAGTTTGAGTTCAAGTAGCAATGAGGCCACAGCATCACAAAGCTTCACAGGAAATGTTGTCAGGCATTGGAACAGGCTGCCCAGGGAAGTGGTGGGGTCACCATCCCTAGAGGTGTTCAAGAAATAACTGGACATGGCTCTTAGTGCCACAGTCTAGTTGACAAGGTTGTGATCAGCCAAACGTTGGACTTGATGATCTTGGAGGTCTTTTCCAACCTAAATGATTCTGTGATTCTATAAAGCTCAGTACTTCTTTTGCTCTCTCTTGATTCTGCAGCCCATCATGACTTTTGCCTATGGCCAGACTTCTGCTGGGGAGCAAGGTTGTTTGGGTATTCCTGCAGTGCTACCATTAGAGCTCATTACTTACTTGAGGAGCTGAAGGACAGCTGCAGAAATTAATATATTGCTGATTTATACTGGGAAGAATGGTTACCAAGCTACTTCTCTATGCTGCAATAAAAAATAACAGGGAAATATCAGTTAGCTTATATCTTTTCAGACATATGCTCCTATGCTTTTAAACATGTTTGGAGGATAGTGACTTTGTGAAATACCTCTTTAAAGAGCTGTTTCTGTCCTCCACATCTGCAAACAGAGCTCAAGCAGAAGATTAAACCAAGTTCTTGAAGACAGCAGCACCAGCGCTTTGATGCTTCCTAGGTAAGTAACACGCAATCACTGCATCAGTCTCAAAGGAGCTGAGCAGCAAAGCATAATGATACCACTGTGATAAAGCACAGGCAAGGAAACAAAGCATTCACAGGAGCAGGTATGAATGTGAGCACATATGTGTGCATCTTGTGGATGAGCTGTCCTCTGAAGAAGATTTGACAGAAAACCTAAAGAGGCCCTTCCTAAGATTTTTAAGATGCACACAGGCAGTGTTGAAGGGAAGACTGAATTTTGTTATGCCATGTAAAATGAGTACAGCTGAAAGGGGCTTTTGCTAATGGCCACAATAACCACACCATCCCTTTCTAATGTAAAAAGCCTAATGTCAACTATTAATCCATGCCTGGAATTATACCAGTTCTGAGCCTTCAGCTGAACAGAAATAAAAGATATGCTGGGTCACCAGCAAGGCGCAAAAATCAGTGGCAGCCAACACTGGTGGAAATCAGGCCATGGAGATACCTAAATATAGTCTGAGAAATTTACTTTGAGGATTTTACAGATCTGAAGATGGTTCCTGGTCTGTGTGCTCTGTTGAGGAGAAACTGAAATCTATTAAAGGACTGCAGGTCAGGTCTTGTGGCCAGCAGTGCTTCTACAGCCAGAAGCCTGCAGAACTTTGGTTATATTTTTTTCCACTTGGCAGCCTTCACATGATATTGAGAAATGGCTGTAAAGGACAACCTTCAGCTTCAAGCCTAAAGGGCCACAGAGCCTGTTTCGTGGTATTGTTTGGGTTATAACCAGCACAGCTCCTCTCTTCAAAGGAGCTGCAAATGTGCCTTTAAAAGATTTGTTTGCTTTATGCACCACTCTTGCTATAGATGTGGATGTTAACTGATGCTTTTGTATGCTTTGAAAATTCAATTAATTCACTGAAGCCTTGCAAAGAACATATGGAATGGAAAAACTAAAATGGACCTCAAAGATAAGGAGTTACTCAACTGATAAACAAGAGAAAATTGACTTAATGGAACAGCACAGGCACAGACTGCTGAGAAGTAAAGTTAGCTGAGGCTAGAGAAGACAAAGACATTATGTGGGCTGTATGACATTAAGAGCAAGGTGAGGATTCAGACAACAATAAAAGAGAAATCTTCTAGTAAGCACACAGCTGAGCAGTAGGAAAAATATGACAGTGTAAGAGGTTTTGTAGCACTTCTAGAAGTGGCAATACACATCAAAGCAGATGCTGAGTGGTGTCAGGATGTGACACTTTGGCAAAATTATATTCTGACTAACCTGAGGACAAGAGAAGAAAAAATGTGATTCAAATCTTTGTAGCCAAGGAGAGATTTCAGCCTTAGCATTCAGAGGAGGTTCATTTTGTGCAGAATGAATCAAAGGGAGTCAAGAAGGGAAGCTGGCTAAAGAAATTGAGTAGATTGTGGAAAATGTAGATGACATCAATTTACATCAATTTACATCCAATGCTGAGGCTGACAATGAAAATACTCAAAGGTTTAAAAAAACTACAAAAGGGTCAAAGCAGCATCTACTTGGCACTGTGGACATTAAGACCACAAAAAAGACTTGGCCTCTACGGGAAATTACAAAGGAGGCACTAAAGAGTCTTAATCAGTAGAAGATAGATTATTTCACAGAATCATTTCTCAGAATATTCTGAGTTGGAAGGACCCACCAAGTGCTCAAGAAAATGTTGAATGGAGCAAGAAGTGAGGTTAGATTTACTTCAGCCCCTGGCTTGATACACATATACACATGCACACTCCAGTTGGGACAAAAGGTGAAGATCAGAGATACATTGATTTGTTTTACTCATTTCTGACTGAAGTACAAGTGATAAGCATGAGAACAAGTTCTGCCAGTCAGTAAATAGAGCAGGTCATCTCTCTTCCTCTTCACATACATAATTTACTTCCTAGATGTGACTTAAACCAACCACCAACAACATACACACACATTTTTTCCTGCTCACTAGAGACACAAATGACCAGAAGAGCCTCCCCACCCCTTGTTTTCCCTCAAATGTGGGAGTGACTTGGTTTCCCCCCTTGGGGCTAGGCACATGCTCTGCTGAGCAAACAGAGTAACCATTAACTTCTGAATGTGCTGAATGTACTTCATTGAGTAAAGTGTTTGAATAATGCTATTGTTGTTGAATATATTCATCAAATATTCATTTCTGTCATTCACTGAGGTCTACAGAAGATTGACTAATGTACATTGAGTAATGCATCTGTTGAAAAGCACAGGGCTCAGAGAATTGCTTCACCTAGATTTTAATCAGCTCTGCTAATTTAATTAATTTAAAAGCAGAAAAGGTATCTTTGTGTGGAGGAAAACTGGGGGAGAGGAGAGGGACAGTAAGAAAATGCAAGAACAAACTGAATAACTAAAAAGAAGTGGGGAAAGCATCCAAAGTGTTAGAGGCACAAAGAGGGCAGACAATTTGGAGCTTGGAGAGCTGAAAAATTACAGGAAGAAGGCACAGTGTTATGGGAAATGGAAGTGGAATGGCAAGAAATAAGAGAAAGAACACAATCCTGTGAACAGTGGATCTATCAATTCTGCACATGCAAACTGAATTATCCTCACAGGTTGAGAGATGGAAAAACTCCTTTTTCTAAACTAAACATTCCTGGGGAATATTTTGCTGCACCTACAACTTACCCTTTTTTTATATATATTACAGGAAGAAAGAGAACCATAAATAGTGGCAAAAAATGATAAAGCAGAGAGCAGAATTAGAAATCACAGAGGAGGGTATAGAATCACAAAATATCAGAGCTGGTAACAGTTTTGAGAGTTTATCCTCTCAATTTTTTTTTTTACACTTTAATCAAAACAGCATCACAGCACTTTTATTTTTTTCCCAAACAGCAAGGAAAAGAAAAAAGAAGCATTGGCACAATGGTTTCCATAAACAACCAAACAAATAATGAAGCCTAACTTCAGATGTTCGTTTAGTAACTGCATTTTCCCCTTACCTTCCCTGTTTATTGATATAAGGAAGTGTGCATCCATTTTATGGTTGCTGAATCTTTGTTTCATGGACTGCCTACTGCTTCCTTACTGACTGCCAGAGGTGTGAAGTCCACAGGCTGAAAAACACTGATTTGCTTTTTCTCTGGCTTTCAAACAGCTTAGTTGTGCAGAAACTATTCCTGACAGTTCACCAGTCCCCACCATGGTCTATCTATTTCAGTGCTCCAGTGCTAGAAAAGAGGAGGGATGAGGAAACCACCTGGGAACACCAAGGAACAGTATAATTCAATTCACACTACCAAGCTGCACATGCACCAGCTGTTCAAACTGTTGCACATCTGCAAGAGGAGCTGAAGAACTGTTAGTACAAGACACTAACCTTGCAACACCTTTGTTTCCTGTTCAATGATGAGAACTCCAAGGTGATCTCCAGATCCTTATAAGAGAGTAAACGAGAAAACAGAGGTCACAAAAATTAACTTTGACTTCTTCAGACAACTCATCTCTTATCATAGAATAAGTAAAGCTGTAACCTTAATATAGTATTGATACTCATTGCTTTTTAAGGCTCTTCAAAACCAAGCCAGGTAAGGTGTGACCACCCATGAGCAAATGGAGCTCTCCTGGCCGTGTGCTGGACAAGTTGTTCACTTCTGCCACGACAGTTGCTAGTGGTTGGTAGTGCAGCAGAGTCTGTGGTTCTCAGGCTGATGTGAGCCAAAGGTTTCCTATCTGTTTCATCCTTGAGATGCTTTCAGTGGAAGGTGGAGGCCTCCAAATGGCAGAGGTAAATATATTGACAATAGCTTGCTCTTGTCTCATGGACAGACAAAAAAGTAATCTATAGACACTTAAGAATGAACTTCATTGATATAAACCCTTTCATTACATGTAATAAGAAAGGGAGTCTTATCCTCAAAACATTGACAATCTAGACAAAGACAACACTTGCTGTTGAGGTGGAGATGTCCACCAGAGAGGTTTATCCAGCATCACTCAGCACATCAGAAGCAGATCTGTGAAAAGAATGATTATCTCTCATAGCCCAGTCCCTTGCTTTCCCCTTAGCTTACTGATTCTAACCACTCACTGTTCTATGCCTATTATTAACTTTTAGCTCCTTGGAGCAAGAAATAAGCCCTTTCGTACATTGGGAGATAAAACGCTGGTTACTCTGATATTAAAAGTAGAATTCCACAAACAATTAAATAGTGCTTAAAATATACATGTGGTGTGTAAAAACATTAGCCTAGGTATTTATTTGCCAAACAACTACAGAAAGGAAAAGAAAAGACTAGATGGAAAAGGGCTCAGCTGGTCATTTAGCACCATACTGAAGCTGGTTGGTTTGGCATTTACAACTGACTTTTGCATGAGCTTCTGCAGTGATTTGGGACAAATCTTCCTTTCTGGGCTTCAGGATCTTAGCTGCCAAACATTCACTTCCCTGAAAATACAACTTCTAAACTACATTTTCAGTGGCTTCATAACATAAAACACGCTTGGCATTATTATTATAGCAAGTGGTGACAAAATCCTGTCTTGTTTTGTATTTAGGGAAACCACAACCACTACTTAAAAACCCAGCAGCTGCTGAGTGTGATGTTTTGCCAGCTGCTAATTGCTGTGGTCTCTTCTCTGCAGCAATGAATGGGTTTTGAGAGAGGGCAGACACAGTTCACTGTTTTCTTTGTTACTTAGTAAACTCTGTAATTAAAAAAAATTAAGTTCAGCAAAATGACTTAATTTTTTTAAGTCATGATGTACATATTTCACCTACACAACTACAACTGCATTTCTCCTCACCTTCATGCCAAACGAATAGCCCATCTCTCCCATGCTCTCCTGATGTAACCAAAAACCTCCTTCCGAAGCAAATGATCTTCAGCATTAATAAGTATTACTGTTCCATTCAGGCTACTGTTACTGTTTTAATGCTTTAGTCAACTCATAAAATAAAAAAAGAATTGAAAAAGTCAAAAGATTTCCACATGAACAAGCAATCAGCAATGGCCCCATTAAAATTTTTAACTCTATAGTTATAAAGTACTGCGGTAGTGCAGCAAAAAGAGGATTATATCCTTGGTTTATGCTGACTGATGCTACACTCGATTGAGGCTATTATCAAGCCTATTTGACATCTGAAAAACAACTTCTCCTTCAGTGAAACTACATTTTATAACAAGAAACTCTTAACTTACCTGCACCTCAGTGAATGATTGCAGCTGGACCCCAGCTTTCTAGTGGAATTAACAATTAACAATAGATTTCCGACAAAGGGAGTTACTCTTTAAGCCTTGAAGATGGAAACTGCTTATCTTCTAGGTAATATAAACTAAATGAGTGAAACCTGATCATCTCTCCTGGCACACTGTTCAAACCAGAACCATAAAGCATCTTGTATCATCAGAAAGATATGAGGAAACCGTGGCATTTATTTGAAGTCACAGGATTTATCTGCATCTTTTGAGCACTCATTGGCATCAGTTCAAACACTGCACACTTTGTTCTTTCACAGTAGCAACGGCACAGCCTGAAGACACGTGTGTTGTGAGCCTTAACTCCCACCCTGTTTGCTCTCTGACATTTTACATCGGATTTGTATTTTGTGTTGTCTTGGGCAAATCAACTGTCCATAAAACACAAATATTCTTTTAGGCACACATCACTCCTAACAATACACTGCACAGAAAGGCCTTTCTCTTAGAATTTTAAATTACGGTGGTTTTCCTAAGCAAGTGAAGCCTGAATTTTGTTATTAAAATATATTTTGGTTACTGTACCTGTTAATTGATTCCCACATTGGACTAGGCAGATGAACCACTCCTCACCAGAAAGCCTATAGCTTTATTTTTAATAACTAAGCTAAGGAATAAGTGTTTATGTTCTGCCTAATGCATCTTACTGAATATCAATGCTTTGGTGGCCATTTTTACCTGGGATGTGGCTATACTGCTGAGTAACATTACAAAATAAGGAGAAAGACCGAATTCCTTGCCTCTTACATGAATTCTTCGCAGTATAATTTATTCATAGTATAGTTTATTTAGCTTAAACTTACTGTGACTGTTATCCAGGAATTATATGTGAATGTTCTGTAGTTTTACAGAGAGGAAGGTACCACATAGCCTAATGGGTGCCTGAATCAGGACCTTGGTACCCCAGAGAAGCTGATGCCTCGGGAGTGTGACTGAAGGTACCATATCTTGGAGCTGGACTGCAAGTCCAAACAAAGCCTTCCAGCTGCCTGCTGGAGGGAGCTACCTGCCAGGTGAGCACCTTCCTCCCGGTACTGCTGCTGAATGCCTGACAAAAGCCATGGATGGCTGAACAAGGTCCCATTCACATAAGTAATTCAAAGGCTAAAATCACTGTAGGAATACTGGGATTACCTGTAGTACTGTAGGAATATTGTGATCACCTGTAGTACTGAGAAAATCAAAATTTAACTTTAAATCCAAACTTTTTTATGGCATTAAAGACATCTGAGCAATTGTAACTGTCCTACAGAGATGGAAAAGAAAAAAAGCCCCAAGAGCCTATTGAACTGAGTAGTTACAATCCTATCACTTTAATGTCAAACTGTTTAAGCATCTTTATGACACTCACAGTTGTATCTCCATCGTACCTAGTATATAAACATTAGACAGTGCCACTCTATTGTATTGAATTAAGAGGAGCCAGAGGCCATTGAGTGGCAGGAAAGCTATAACATAGTCACCATCGTGGAAATATGGTGGAATAACTCCCATGACTGGAGTGTTGCAGTGAATGACTACAAGCTCTTCAAAAGGGACAGGAGAGGAAGGAGAGGTGGTGGGGTGGCTCTGTACATTAGGAAGTGTTTCAACTGTATAGAGCTCAATGATAGTGATGATTAGGTTGGGTGCCTATGGGTAAGGATCAGGGGGAAGGCTAACAAGGCAGATACCCTGGTGGGAGTCTGTTATAGATCACCCAACCAGGATGAAGAGGCAGATGAACTATTTTATAAGTGGCTGGCTGACATTTCATGATCACTAGCCCTTTTTCTTGTGGGAGACTTTAACTTGCTGGGTGTCTGCTGGAAGCTCATGACAGCAGAGAGGAGGCAGTCTAGGACATTCCTGGAGTGTGTGAAAAATAACTTGCTGACACAGCTCATAAGTGAGCCTACAAGTAGTGGGGCCCTGCTTGACCTTCTGTTTACAAACAGAGAAGGTCTGGTGGGAGATATGGTGGTCAGAGGCCACCTTGGGCATAGCAACCATGAAAATATAGTTTTCAATTTGTGGTGAAATAAGGAAGTGGGTCAGCAAAACTTCTACCTTGGACTTCAGAGGGTGAACTTTGGTCTGTTCAGGACACTGTTTCAGAGAGTCCCTTGGAAAACAGCCCCTAAAAACAAAGGGGTCCAGGAAGGCTGGACATACTTCAAGAAGGTAATCTTAAAGGCAAGGGAGCAGGCTGTCCCTTGAAGGGATGAGCCAGTGGGGAAGGATGAGCCAGTGGGGAAGAAGACTGGCCTGGATGAATAGGGAGCTTTCACTAGAATTCAGGGAAAAATAGAGAGTTTATGACCTTTGGAAAAAGGGGCAGAAAACTCAGGAAGAGTACAAGGGTCTTGTTAGGTCATGTACAGAGAAAATCAGAAAGGCAAAAGCTCAGCTAGAACTCAATCTGGCTACTGCTGTGAAAGGTAATTAAAAGTGCTTTTATAAATACATTAACATTGTAAAGAGGGCCAAGGAAAATCTCCATCCTTTATTGGATGCAGAGGGGAACACTGTAACCAAGGATGAGAAAAAGGCTGAGGTACTTGATGCTTTCTTTGCCTCAGTCTTCAATAGAAAGACCGGTTATCCTCAGGGCAAACAGCCCCCTGAAATTGTAGACAGGGAAAGGGAGCAGAACAGGCCCCTGCAATCCAGCAGGAAGTAGTTGGTGGACTGCTGAGCCATTTAGACCCATTTAGTCTGTAGGACCAAATGGGATTCATCTGAGAGTACTGAGGGAGCTGGTGGAAGAGCTCTCCAAGCCCCTTTCCATCATTTATCATCAGTCTTTGCTAACTGGAGAGGTCCCAGTTAACTGGAGGTTAACCAATGTGACAGCTGTCTACAAGGAGGATCTGAGGAACTACAGGTTCCTTATCTCTAGTGCTGGGCAAGGTCAAGGAACAGATCACCTTGAGAGCCATCATGCAGCACAACCAGGGGATCAAACCCAGCTAGCATGGTTTTGTGAAAGGCAAGTCTTGCCTGACTAACCTGATCTCCTTTTATGACCAGGCGACACACCCAGTGGGTGAGGGGATGGCTGTGGATGTAGACTACCTGGACTTACAGCAAAGCCTTTGACACCATCTCCCATGGCATTCTCCTGGAAAAGCTGGCAGCCCATTACTTGGACAAGTTCACTCTTTGCTAGGTGAAAAACTAGCTAGATGGCTGGGCCCAAAGGGTGGTGGTGAATGGTGCTGTATCCGGTTGGCAGCCGGTGACCTGTAGTGCCCCCCAGGGATCAGTGTTGGGGCCAGTCCTCTTTAATATCTTTATTAATGATTTGAGCGAGAGGATAGAGTGAACCCTCAGTGAGTTTGTAGATGACACTAAGCTGGGTGGGAGCGTTGGTCTGTTGGAGGGCAAGAAGGCTCTGCAGAGGGATCTGGACAGGCTGGATTGATGGGCCAAGGCCAGTTGTGTGAGGTTCAATAAGGCCAAGTGCTGAGTACTGCACTTGGGTCCCAACAACCCCTTCAGCACTACAGGTTGGGGGCAGAGAGGCTGTAAACCTGCCTGGTGGAAAAGGACCTGGGGGTGCTGGTCAACACCAGCTGAACATTAACGAGCAGTGTGCCCCAGTGGCCAAAAAGGCCAATGGCATCCTGGCTTGTATCAGAAATACTGTAGCCAGCAGGACTAGGGCAGTGATTGTTCCCCTGTACTCGGCCCTGGTGAGACCACACCTCAAGTCTTGTGTCCAGTTCTAGACATCTCACTACAAGCAAGACATTGAGGTGCTGGAGTGCATCCAGAGAAGGGTCTAGAGGGTAAGTCCTACGAGGAGCAGATGAGGGAACTGGGGGTGTTTAGCCTGGAGGAAAGGAGGCTCAGGGGAGACATTTTCAATCTCTAGAATTACCTGAAAGGAGGTTTTAGCCAGGTGGGGGTCAGCCTCTTCTCAGGACAAGAGGGAATGGCCTTAAGCTGTACCAGAGGAGGTTCAGGCTGGAGACTAGAAATGTTGTCACTGAAAGCATGGTTAAGCATTGGAATGGGCTGCACAGGGCAGCGGTAGAATCACCATCCCTGGAAATGTTCAAGAAACGACTGGACATGGCACTCAGCGCTATGGCATAGCTGGCATGGTGGTGTTCAGTCAAAGGCTGGACTCAATGATTTGGAGGTCTCTTCCAACCTTAATGATTCTATGACTCTGTGTGGTGGTATTTATATATTAAAAAGCAACTGTAAGGTGCAGAAAATCTGAGAGTTCCAGGTTACTGCGTGACAGAGTTCCTTACTAT